CCTCGCAGGCCTCACCCTCTGACCTTCTCGGTACCGCCCGTAGCGCGACATGCTGACTGGCCCGCGAGCGAGCTCGGCTCGTCCAGGATCCGAGTGACGCGAGCAGCTGCGAACACCTCCGAACACCTCGCGCAACAACGGCCCAGCGGCATCTACCAGGAAGAGCCTGGGTTCCGGTTGATATATCCGCGGCGGCTGGGTCCCTCTGCGCATGCGTCACCAAGGGGCCGGGCGGAAGCCAGGCTGAGGGCCCTCCCCCATACCCCCAGTACATGAATTTTGTGCACCGGGCCTCTAGTCTATCATAATCCTATATAATAAAACCCTAATATGCAAATTGACTGAATGGCGGAACGACCAATGGAATGGCCTGTCACTATGATATGCACTGACCACCAGGGGGCAGATGCTCAATGCAGGAGCTTCCACCCTGGTGGTCAGTGTGTTCCCATGGGGGGAGCACCGCTCAGCCAGAAGCCGGGCTCACGGCTGATGAGCAAAGTGGTGGTGGCTGGAGCCTCTCCCACCTCAGTGGCAGTGCTAAGGTACAGTGAGCCAAGCGGTAAGGAGCAGTGAGCAGGCAGGTGGTAAGGAGGGAGGGGTCCTGGACTGCAAGAGGGATGTCTGCTTCCTGGCTTAGGCCCGGTTCCCCCGGACATCCCCTGAGGGGTCCTGGACTGCAAGAGGGCACAGGCTGAGCTGAGGGACCCCCACAATGCACGAATTTTGTGCACCAGGCCTCTACTAAAAGAATAATATGCTAATTAGACTAGAGGTCCTTCTGTCCTTGCAGATGAAGCCGGGGCTCTGAGGGAAACCAAGGTCCTGGCTGCCTGCCAATGGCCGGAGGGAAACCCGGGTCCCAGGTGCCAGAGGGAAGCCGGGGTTGGCAGCCAGGGGAAGGAAGGCCTAGATTTGCATGAATTGTGTGCATTGGACCTCTAGTATATACATATATGCATAGCCCATGGACACACAGACAATAAGGTGGTGGGGCCTAGAAGTGGTGGTGGAAGGTAGACAGAGGCAAAGGGGGCGGAGAGAAATGGGAGGAAATCTGTAATAGTCAACAATATAAAAAAATGTGTTAAAATTTGACCCAACAAAAGCAAAATGAGTGTCGGCCATCACTTTTCCTCCCAACCCTTGTGAGCAAAACCATGCCTGTGCCTGTGTTTTTCGAGGGTGTGCCAGGCATAACTGTGTTCGGGAACAGGAAGCAGCCTGGACCTGGTTGGCCTCAGGTTGGCCTGTAATGTTTGAGTTCTTGACTTCATGCTGAAAAGATTTCACAACGTGAATTCAGGAGTTTTCCAGCATGTTTATTGAAGCTGGAGATAATGAAAACAAATGTAGGCCCTAGGATAGAACAAGCAACAGCAGAGACTAGGCGGGGCTCCCAGGGCTCGAGGAACACTGTGGGAAATAAGGGAGCCAAAGGGGGGCTGCGGTTAGCTCTCTGAAAAATCAGAGAAAAGGGGTCCTTGAGTGCAGGTTCAGGGGCTCAGCCACAGGTGAGCTGCTGCTGCTCATTGCTGCCCCAGTTGCAGGTCAGGTGGGGACCCTTAAAAGCTAAGAAGAGCCTGGCTGGCGTGGCTCAGTGGTTGAGCCTCGACCTGTGAACCAGGAGGTCACAGTTTGATTCCCCGGTCAGAACACATGCCCAGGTTGTGCTCCATCCCCACTGTGGGGCATGCAAGAGGCAGCTGATCAATGATTCTCTCTCATCATTGTAGATTCTCTCTCTCTCTCCCTCTCCCTTTCTCTCTGAAATCATTCTCTCTCATCGGTGATTCTCTATCTCTCTCTCTCCCTTATTCTCTAAAACCAATTAAAATGTATTTTAAATTTATATATATGTAGTTAAAATGTACATTTTATATCAATTATACTTAAGTCAAAGTTTTAAATAATGTTTAAAACTTGCCACTTCCCAATTATTTTACTATTTTATTATGAATGTTCTTGAGCATATTTGTTCCTACTGTATCAGTATGTTGCAAATAAAACATCATGATATGCTACTGAAGTATCTTATCATGCCCGTGTTCAGTGCCATTGTGTTAGCAGTTTGAAGCTGACAAATGATGAGAGTATTTACACCAGGGAAATTGACAAATACTACAAACCTTGTCTTATTGTACTACTGAATACTTAAACTTGGAAAAGAATGTTAGCAATGCAGATTAACTTAATAGTGTGTCTTAGAAGTGGGATTTAATGGCCTTTAGGATTAAATTTGAGAAAATACACCCAGCCAGTGTGGCTCAGCTGTTGAGCACCTAACCAGGGACCAAAGGGTTGTTGATTCAAATTCTGGTCAGGGCACATGCGTGGGTTGCGAGCTCGATCTCCAGTGTGGATCTTCCAAGAGGCAGCCAATGGATTATGTCCCCCACTCACATGTTTTTATCTATCAGTCTTCCTTCCTCTCTCTAAAAGCAATAAGAACAGATTTTAAAATAAATAGGGAGCCGCTGTGAAAGCTTGCAGCTCTGTGGTGCGGCCAAGAGACAGTGATGGCCCTGCGGGCAGGGGGCACTCAGTGGCTTGTCTGTGTCCTGCTCTTCCCTCTGCTCACTGACAACACAGCCTCACTCATCTGGGATCTCAGGGAGCCCCACAGCTGGGCTGGCAAAGTCCGTATGCACCCATGGAGCAACCTGTGAGCCACGGGTCACTTCATGGGCAAGAAGAGTCTGGAGCCCCTGGCTCATCCCTACTAGAGACAGCTCCCCACGTCTCTCTGGGGGACCAGAGACTGCAGAGGAGTCATGATCTGCTCAGGATGCTCCTGCTGAAGCAGCTCTAGGCATGAGCGCCAGCGGCCCAGCACCTCACACCCAGCATAGGAGGCCGCTGGTGAAATGCTGCAGAAGTGACGGCATTAATGAGGAAGACACAACAGCGTGGCGTAGACTGTGCGCACCCCGGGAAGGTGCTGAAGGGGACCTAGTAGTGGCCCCATCTGGATGTAAGTTCTGGGCTCACATCTCTGTTACTGCATTAGTGTGGTATCTGGTAGGGTCACCAGGAATATCATTAGTGCAAACACAAATTATGTTCCTGCTGTCTTTTTTGCTTCCCTGTTGAAGTGAATAAAACCCTGCTCTTTATAAATAAATAAATGAAAGACAAAGATGCTAATTGACCGCACCATTGCTACGCCCCAAGCCACGCCCACCAGCCAATCACAGCGACTATATGCAAATTAACACAACCAAGATGGCGGCTGGAAGCCACAGAGCTGGAGCAAGCAGAAGGCTTGGTTCCTGGGCAATGGAGGAAGCCAAGCTTCCCGCCAGCCCTGAGCTGGCTGTGGCCTCCGTTAAAGGCAACAAAGTTTCAATTATAGAAGATAAACAAATCCCAGATACCTGCTTCCAGCCAGCCTCCACTGGGAGCTTGGGTGGCTGTGGGTTATGGCCAGCCTGCAAACAGCCATCAGCCCCTCACACAGGCTGACCAGGCACCCCAGCGCGGACCCCCACCCTGAAGGGGCTGTGGGCAGTCTGCAAACAGCCATCAGCCCCTCACCCAGGCTGGCCACACCCTCAGGCAGTGAGGGTCCCCGTGGGGGGCTTAGCCAATCTGAAAATGGCCCTCAGCCCCTCAGTTAGACTGGCCACGCACCCCAGCAGGACCCCCCACCCTGAAGGGGCTGTGGCCAGCCTGCAAACAGCCATCAGCCCCTCACCCAGGCTGGCCAGGCCCCCCAGCGGGGACCCCTACCCTGAAGGGGCTGTGGCCAGCCTGCAAACAGCCATCAGCCCCTCACCCAGGCTGGCCAGGCCCCCCAGCGGGGACCCCTACCCTGAAGGGGCTGTGGCCAGCCTGCAAACAGCCATCAGCCCCTCACCCAGGCTGGCCAGGCACCCCAGCGGGGACCCCTACCCTGAAGGGGCTGTGGACAGCCTGAAGACAGCCATGAGCAACTCACTCAGGCTGGCCACACCCTCATGGGGTGAGGGTCTCTGCTGGGGGGCTTGACCAGCCTGCAAACAGCCATCAGCCCCTCACCCAGGCTGGCCAGGCACCCCAGGGAACCCCTATCCTGAAGGGGCTGTGGCCAGCCTGCAAACAGCCATCAGCCCCTCACCCAGGCTGGCCAGGCACCCCAGCAGGGACCCCTACCCTGAAGGGGCTGTGG